TCTCCCATAGGGCATTCTATTCTAATGTAGATATGGATTTTTATGGTAACGTAGTTGATCTGCTATACAAAAACACCTTTGGTCGCTTGGTATATTGCTTAGCTATCGAGCTTAAGTTCTATTCAAAACGCCGACATCACGATTTCAAAGGTTCAACAATCAAGCAGCAAAAAACAGCTTCTAGGTTTGCTTCTCTAAGAGCAAATGAGTCTTCAGAGTATATTAAAGACTCTACATCTGCAATTTCAACTGATTGATGAAAGCCAAGTACGTCATTCGACAGTTGGTGGCTGAAGTATAGGGTAGTTGAAGTCTAGGAACCCACCATGCCGAATCGGCTACTCGAAGAGCATGTAAACAATGAGACGCGTTTAGACGCGTCATAGCTTACTTAACGCTTGAAATGAACAAGAGAAGGATGCATTGAGAGAAGAGACAGGTACAGTGCGAAGATACAACTCTTTAACATTTCGTATATCAGCCTTCATTTCCATTCTGACTGAAGTGTTCCGTGTCCTATCAACCCGCTCCACCGAGGAACAGAAACTGAGCCATTGATAATACTTAGCAACATGGATTGCTAAGAGAATTAATTGCACGCGATCTCTAAACAGCGTAGCGGTATTCGGGGCGTCGTGACATCCCTGGTGCATACGGGATGACCCCTTTGTCCAGCTTGTTATTCATCTGGACATAGTAATACCTCATTGCGAGAGCAGTCGCTGCAAACCCAGCTTGAGTCGCACCTGCCAGGATCAAGGCTGTCTTGTGGACGGGCGCCTCATTGTCGCGGAATGATACTGAAGATAGGACTCCGGCTAGGTTCATGAAGGTATAGTTGAGACCCAGGGACACTGCTCGGCCAGTCGTGGTGGGCGTGTTGGAGGAAAGCCAAACAGGAACCAAGTTGCTGGGGATGAATGTCACACATGGGACAAGATATGTGAGGAAGTAACCAGCCTTGGGGCTCTTCACCAGATCAAGCGTGCCCAGGAGAATCCACCCCAAGATTGACACGACAACGCTGCCGCAGGAGAAGTAGGCTCGCTGTTGGTAGCGGTCCGAGAGCCACGTTATGGTCAATTGCACGGCGGAAGCCACGAGGTTGGGACCGACCGTGTAAAGATTGGCTTGAACCGTGTTCTTTGTGAGTCTTTTAACCATAGTCTAGTATAGAACTGTTAGCCATTATTGTGGCAATATGTAGACGATCGAAGCCGACTTACCGGCAAGAAATTCGAGCTGCTAGCAACGCCAATTCCATAGAGCAGAGCCATGAAAGCAAAGACCCAAGTCTGCCACATCTTGAGTTGAGCAATTGCCTCATCCCAACGAAAATATTTGTCTTGATCTTGCGAGTCAAGCTCAAGTCGAGATTGAGCCAATGCTTTCTCCTCGGCGCTGAAGAATCGGCATTTTTGTGGACTCCTTGGAGCCCAGACGAATAGCCATGCAGCAACAAGAACTGTAATGGCACCCTCAATGATAAATAGGTATTGCCATCCCTGGGTTTCATATGGTTAGATAAATAATCATAATCGCCACAGTGTAAATTTGCTTACTCGAAGACTCCCGTTCCATTGAAAGACACCCCAGCTGATCAGCCCACTGACAGCACCTGCGATGAATCCAAACTGGCCAACCATACCGACACGAAAACTCATTTCTTTCCTGGTATAGAATAGACTCAAGTAGAAAACTTCGCAAGGCTTATAGCTTGCCTCGATCGCACCCACGAGAACTCTGCATGCCATCAAATGCCGTCCGTTCTTTGAAGCCACGGATGCGATGGTGACGATGCCCCACAGGCAAACAGCAAGGGGGATGATAACAGCTGGGTTGAACTTCTTGGCAAGAAGTGACCATGGAATGTTGAGAAGGGCATATGGAATATAAAACACCACCAGCATCAAGGAGAACTCGTTGGCGCCTAGGTGTAGATCCTCCACAATTGTATCGGTCTTAGCATTCCCCAGGTTGCTTCTGTCCAGAGTGTTTGTAAAGTAAGCCAAGCACAGGCCGGGCATTACCAACAAATCAGTCTTTCGAAGCAGTCGCCGTATGAGAGCCTGCTCTGAGCTTTCTGTGGCCTCCAAGGAGACGGCGACTTGAGAAGTGCCATTTTTGTCTGCTTGAGACGAGGTTTTCTCGTCGTGGCCACTATCAGACATCATCAAACGAAAAGATTCAGTGAAATTGAAGTATATAAACTGATAAGTGAAGATCTGTTGTTCTAAGCATCACGGACATGTCTCCTACTGTCGGGGGCAAAAACCGCTTAAATACCGCCCACTCCTGCTACCCCACAACCCTCGATGAGATGTCCCAGCAACTCGTTGAATACTCCTTGGAGGGAGAATCAAAACCCGTGCCTGAGGGATGAGGCCTGGGTTTTGTATAACCAAAGCACCCCTGCAATTCTGATCACTTCTTGCTGGGGTTCTATGTCGCAATCACGAACGGAACACTCGATTGGTAAACTCTAAATTGCATCATCCGGACAATAATGAGACAACTACCCATGCCAGTGGTAGCGTTACCACGTTCCTCCACAGTTTCTTATCTGGCCTCGTGTTATTCCTGGGGACGACAGGAGGTTTGTGGATCTTCGTATGACCAGTTATCAGAAGAACCATGGATAGATACATTTTTTACACCGATATCGGTTCTTGTCTAAGTCACTTACGGGGAACAAAGTAACCTAAGAATAGTACTGGTTACCAGATCCCTGGGTCCCAAGGTTCATTAAATTAGAATTCGTAATGGAAGATTCGAAGTGTATAATTCGCTGTTGGATGGTCCTCATAAAACACTCAAGAATGATTATGGCATCTCCCCACTCGAAACTAGGCCTACTCCTTGTTCTGTCCGTCATTACTTCCTTTAGTGGCGACATTGAACTGGTGAGGTTGCCCCCAGTCTTCCTTGATCGCAATTTCACGTGTTTCACGAAACATGTAAGGCGAGCTCTTGTACCCATGCTGCCACTTCCTCCCCTCCCATTCTTCTTCCACAGGGGGCTCCTCAGCTTGAATCTCCTTGGCCCTTTGCTCAATGTTTGCCCAAACTCTAAGCAAGTTCTCTCCTACTAGAAGTCTGATCTGATCGTCCGTTGCTCCTCGCGCCATGAGAAGCTCAATGAGATTCGGGAACTTTGATACGTCCTGAAGATAGGTCATTAGCGGCGTCCCTTGTAATCATGTCACATGCTGATTATCTTACCTCGAGTCCGATTGGAGTGAACGGGGTGCCGCTAAAGTCAGATCCAATGCCTACATGCTCCCATCCAGCGACCTCAGCAATATGCCAGATATGATCAACAACGTCGTGAATGGTAGCAGAGTCTGGATTCTTCATGTTCAAAAAGCGATTGACAAATACAGCCATGACTATGCCCCCGTTCTGGCGCACGCTGCGCAGTACATCGTCAGGCACATTGCGAAGATGGGCGGATACAGAGTATGCGCCGGAGTGGGAAAAGATGATGGGTGCTCGGGTGAGTGATAGCACGTCCCTCATCGTCTGATGAGACACATGTGAGAGATCCAAAAGCATACCTAGGCGATTCATCTCCTTGACGTAAGCTGCGCCGAATGGAGTCAACCCTCGATCTGCCCCAGGTCCCTTGGCAGCTACTGTCGAAGCCGCGGTTGCCCACGCATTATCACAGTTGTGAGTTGTCGTGATATATCTCACACCGAGGTCATATGCCTGTCGAATTGCTGCAATTGAGCCCCCAAGTTGGTGTCCGCCTTCGATTCCAAGCATGCTGGCAATACGTCCTTTGGCGAAAGCCTGGCGCACGCATGATGGCGTGGTGCAATACTGGAAGACGTCGGGATATTCCGAAATGAATCGCTTCGCTACATCGATCTGCTCAAGCGTATCTCTAACCACCCACTGGAGGGTAAATAAGTTAGGTGACGAACCGGAGGTATAATATGTAGGAACTTACGGAAGGGTCGTCAAAGTGCTTTTGCGCAGCATCGCAATGGACATATACGCTCCAGAATTGACCACCCATCTGGCCCTGTCTCATGCGAGAGATGTCTGTATGGCCGAGGAGCTTCTGTCGTGGGTCGAACTTGTCGTCGCGGATGCGGTTATGAAGTTCAACTCGCAAGAGCCATGGAAGGTCATTGTGTCCATCGATAAGAGGGGTTGTTTGGAGGACAGTCTTGGTTCGTAAGGCATAGTTTGTTGGATCGATTGGTGTTTCGGCCGAGAGTAACCAGGCAAACGGCGTAGAAAGAATAGCGAACCCTACGGCAGCGAGAGCGTATGGCCAGGAAAGGATACCAGAGCGTTGCCGTGGTCGTAGAATAACAGCTTGATCGTGTTGTCCCTGGCTTGTGGATGCCTGTGGCTCTGAAGTATCAGGGCGAATGGCTTCAGCCTGGCTCGATCGCTCTGATTCAGATGACATCTCCAAGTCTGTATCTAATCTCTGCACTTGTACGGGATGTCATAGAGAGAATGAACGGAATGCGACTGAGAGAATTGAATCTCATATGGACCTTGACGAAAGCTCCTCATCAACTTTTCTTCACCAAGATCCGATTTCGGTCACCTTCGCGTGGATAAACCAGACAGGGTGCCACAAATCGATCTCAATCCCAAGATGGAAGTTGGGCTACGAAGCCGGCGATTGCGTGATTATAACCCATATATCCGCCTTACGTCCATGAGGCCATGATCCTATCAGGACCAGTATATTTGACGCATCGGAGAAGACCCCACGCAGAGCAGGGATTCACAAGCCTCGAGCCTTAGGGCTTATAAATACAACCCGTGCCTGACAGCTGAGGCATGGGTTTCTTTGTATCGTGATATAAAGTTTTCAACGAAATGTGAGGGGTTTTAGCTAGTCAATGAAGGATCAGCGTTGTGGTCAACAAGTAATACAACCCTTCTCTGAGAACCTTGAAGCAGTGTCAACGTGAAGATCTTGGCGGTGTTTATACATGATACCGTCGTTTCATCCTGCCCAACTCTACATCATGTCTCTGGCTTCCCAATTCCATCATGCCCTTCGCGTTCTGGGCTTGGAATACGGATCAGCTCTTCTGTTATTGTTGATCCCGATCTTTTCCCTGTTAATCTATATCCTGGTCAACGAATTTGTTCGTTATTCTACTCGTATTCCGAACCTACCAGGTCCCCGAGGCTACCCATTGCTTGGAAGCCTTCCATCACTGCGTGGCAAAATCCCAGCCGAAGAATACCGTCAGTGGGCGAAACGCTATGGTGATGTTTTCCAGCTCCAATTGGGGAATACGACAACTGTTGTCGTCAATAGCGCTGCTGCGGCCAGAGATTTCTTCATCTCGCAACGCAACGCAACAAACGGCCGTCCTCGTTTCTATGTTTTGCATAGCAAAGTCCAGAAAGGGAACGCTGTGACTAGCATTGGAACAAGCGAATGGGACCACAGCTGCAAAAGGCGACGGAAGGTTGCCGCTACAGCACTCAACAAAACAAGCGTCGAGAGCTACTTACCAGTATGACAATCCTGTACAAGCCATTGATAGAGAAAGCGGACACTGGACTGATATTGATAGATTTTGAACCTTGAATCTCGAGCATTTCTCAACGACCTGCTTGCGGCCTCGAAAGGAGGAACTCAGACTTCCACCAACGTCCTTGATATATGCCAGAAGTTTGCTTTGAATCTTAGTTTGACTCTAAGCTATGGTACACGGTATGTTTTGTTAGCTAACTTCCTGAAAGTATGTTGCTAATGCTAGAAAAGTGCCGAGGATGTCAAAGATTTGCATAACAACATTCTTCTCTCCGAAATTCTATATATCGAGGAAATGATTACTAAATATCGCGACGTTTCTGGGAACTACCTAAACTACATCCCATTGTTGCGCCCTTTTAGTTCCGCAGCCGAGTTCCTTGGGTTTTCCAAGGGAGAAAAAATAATGGCCGATATTGGAAAGCGGCGTTATGCTTATCATGCTCTCTTGCAAAAGAATTTGCGAGGAGAAATTGATTTGGGGGTTGATAAACCATGGTGAGTATCGCCATGTAACTAGTAACGAATGATCTCGCTGACAAGTTGACAAAGTATCCAGGGAAATGTCCTGAAAGATCCCGATAGTAAGGGGTTGACAGAGGGAGAGCTCTTGAGTATCAGCATGAGCATGATGGCCGGTTCAGATACCACGAAACGCTCCCTGCTCTGGGGCTTGCAGTTGCTAGCAAACAGGCAAGACATCCAACAGAAAGCGTATCATTCAATCATCGACGCCGGAGACAACATCGCGTTAGCACCTGACGTCGCACACACTCGGATTGATTACATAGACGCCCTGACTAAAGAAATCGGGCGATACTTTGTGGTTTTGCGACTTGCCCTGCCAAAAGCTACTCATGGACATGTCAACTGGAGCGGCGCCAGTATTCCACCCAAAACTCTTCTGTTTTTGAACACATGGGCCTGTTCTCGAGGTAAGAGCACAAGATTATGGGCAAGAGCACAGTTAGGCTGACTGGAACTTTGAAGATACGGACGTATTTGCGGACGCAGACGTCTTCGATCCCGAGAGGTGGCTCGAGGGTGAGGATGTTCATCGGCATCAATTTGCCTTCGGTATGGGTGGTCGGATGTGTGTGGCAAGCCATGTTGCATCCAAGGCTCTCTACACCGTATTCCTCCACCTCGTGGCACATTTTCGCGTCTTACCTGCTGGTGATGTGTGTAACCCAACTACATGGGATCCGTTGGAAGGATTGTTGTCCAAGGGAAATCACCAGGCTGCCCCAGCATTCACGCATGTCAGATTGGTACCAAGGAACTTGGAGACAACGAAGAAAATGCTCTCGGTGAAGTCATAGAATTCTGAACATATCTTTTATCGTATTAATCACTGTCCAAGTCGTCCTTGTTGTCTACTTAACGCGTGGCTAATGCAATTTCCGAGCTTATGTTCAATGTCCTGCAGGTTGTAAGATTGCGGGTATTTCAGTAAATTTTCGTGCCACTTTCGTGGAATGGGTGTGACGACCAGTGGTTGCAAGCGAAGTGAACTTTTGGAAAAAAGGATCCAATAGGATCGAGTTTCTGAGACAGTGTCCCAGGTATATTGATTCATGTTCGGGGGCCGCTTGATTACCACTGGGGTGAAATAATCGTTAGATCTCACGTCAAAAGACGGTTGACACTGTTTCTTGGCAATTGTAAATTTTCTCTCTCTCAAAAGAAGAAGACCACTCACGACTGCTCTGCTGGTTGTTGCATTTGGAACAAGTTTAGGTACACGGATGTATCATGACGCGTAGGTGCTATGCTACGTTCTGGCATTCTTCCTAGAGGCAATCAATGCACGCAAGGCTGCAGTACCACCACAAAACAGGGAAAGAAAAGAACTTTGGAAATCCCTAGGTTGGGGGCGTGGTGCGGCTGAGCACGGCTTTTGCATGCAGGCCGCAAGGGATAGCATCCGCCGGCAGACACTTCATAACCCCCCTAACTTCGGTCTTGTTCCTTGAAATCATTCTTCGTTTCCTCTCATGGATTTTCCAGCAATGTGGTCTAAAATCCTGCCGCTCTTTTGTCTCCTCTGTGGCCTTGTGGCCGCCGATGGTGGCCCGCTGTATCGGCGGCGGGCATATCACTCCAGTCCGGCATCCCTTCCTAGTTTTTCCATACCAGTGAGCTAATTCTATGCAGTCGCGGTCCTGGGTGATTACCTTTTTGTTGATGGCGGGGAGATTTCGGAATATATCGATGGTGTAAAGGATGAGGGGAGGAACATTTCCGAGGCTGGTATATCATCCAAGGTCCTATGTTTTGGTCTGAGTGCAAGCTGACAACAATAGTGAAAAACACAACATTAATCCCGTTGAACTCGAAATGGACGCCTAGTACTGTACACAACCTTTACCGATATGTCGAATACCCTGATGAAATTCAGCCATCCCGAGACTTTATCCTCTGGACGAACCCAGACAAGAACAAAATGTATAGATGGGCGGGAACACCAGCCCGCGGTTATTCGATACAAGACAGAATATACAATAGCATGGGGGTGTTAGTAGACGCTGGGAAGGAGGGCATGCAATGGAAGACCACTCCAGCAAATGAGCAACAGCACCCTCCTGGGGTAGATGGGGCACCGACGTCCTGTGATGGCCTAGGCCTCTATTTCAGCGGCTACACTACCAAGACTACAATTAACGACAAAACCAAAAACGGTATTATATTCGAGGGGATGTTGACATATAACATGACAGACTCTACGTGGGGAAGAAGCCAGAACACAACCTTGGATCTAGACAGTCGAAGAAATGAGATGGGAGAAGCGATATGCATCGAAGGACTACTTGATAGCCCCTTGGCGCTGATGCTTGGTGGCTCCTGGAAAAACGAGACCGACATCGCTCAGTGGAACAACTTCACTCACGTCACTTTGTACGACCCTCACAGTCAAACGTGGTATGATCAGCAAACAACAGGTGCCGAACCAGTGCCGCGCGATTATTTCTGTGCGGTTGGAGCAAAAAGTCAGAGTGGGACGTACGAAATGTAAGTCTTGACTTCATCCAAACCTCCAATGCATCACGTTGATGGTGGCCGGTGACGGACGTTTTTTAACGCGACTTAAATAAATTGCTAATGTTTATTCTCCCAGCTTTATCTTTGGAGGCAATGGCCCACCTTCCGGGGTTCAGAAGTTGTGTATCCTCTCTCTCCCTGGATTTTACTGGTTCTGTCCGAAGGAGCTTGGATTCGACTCAGATATACGGACGCGTCATAGATGCGCCCGTATAGGAAATCGACAGATGGTATCAGTGGGTGGGCTTGGGTATTGGTTGGTAACAAACAAGACCTGGCAGTCGCCAGATACATGGCCCAATGCCATCGGCATATTCGACCTCACTGAGCTGAAGTGGAAGGAGGAGTATGACCCTGACGCCCAGCCTTACGAATCACCACAAATTGTCCAAGAGTGGTACGCTAAAAAGTGAGTATTCTTTTGCCTCTAAGATGTTATGTGCGTCTCACAGTTTCAGGGATCGTCAACCAGTGGCTTGGGCCAGCTCCCAACTGGAAGCCTTATTCAACAAAAGTGAGTAATGCGTCTTGCCATGTCAGTTTGCGAATGGATGGCTGATCACCCAAGACTCGAGCACGGACACTACTCAAACCATGGCCGCTCCTACGATGACAGACTCGCCAAAAAATGATTCGGATACTAATAAATCACGCAGTATTGGACCCATCGTGGGAGGTGTCGTTGGAGGCGTGGTATTCCTGGCATTACTAGTCGCCGGTTTGTGGTTCCTCAAACGCCGCCGCGCTCCAGAAAATCTCCCCGTGCCCACAAACAACCAGCAGCATGAGCAATATGAGACTAAGCCTGACTACCAGCTTGGAGGCCATCTAAAGCCTTCTGAGGGTGAGCTTGACGGGACAATGCGGTCAGAGCTTGGATCCGGGATGACAAGCCCTCTCTCTGAGCCTTACACGCCACAGCCTGAGCTTGAGGTACCAGCTCCACTTGAGCTTGAGGGATCCTTGTCAAACACAGCTGCCACCAGGACTGATGTGTAGCACGTCGAATCAGTTATAGAATCAACGAGGTATCTCTTACCTGGCATAAGAGAAGGAACATGAAACTATCAGTGTTTATTACAGCATTCTGGCGAGGAATCCCTGGTGGTCCTTGGAGGGATATATCGCAGTCATTCACGCATGTAAAATAAGAGTAATAAACTACTAGTATGGAGAAAAAGAAAGATTTCGGCAGACACCTAGAACAAGATATAATACCGAGAAGTCTTCGACTTGGTGCAATCCATCCGTCAGGCTTTTGGTAAAGGGACCATTCTAGAGTTGAGGACTCAAGGTGCTTTACCTCTAAAACAACGGGAACTTGGTCTATCATGGAAACACCCGCCTTTATGAACAAACTTCATATTCTGAAATAATCGCATCGATTCCAGGCCCATGTAACGACGACCGATGATAGCCAAAAGGAGAAGATTGATGACAACAAATTATAGTACTGTGTATTTGTTAGCTGCGTTGAATGAAAAACAAAGTAAATAACATGAAACGTACTGTCTGGTCTAATTTCTATATTCCCCTCATTATGCCAGTGTAGATCATTATCACGGGACACTATTACTTCTGTGCCTGGCAATAGGATTCGTTGTGCTAGCTTGTCTACTTCCTCCTGGGGAAAGTAGTCCATCCCGGAAACAGTGAACCGCAACCGGCGTAGAGATGGAAACAAAACTGATTTGTTCTCAGGAGGAGTTTCGTTGGAGATCCCTTTGAAGTAAGAAGCGACGTCAATGATTCTAGATACGTTAATTTCGAGATCCTTCATTAAGCGCAACTTTTCCGGTGATAGGATTTCATGGAGGCCGAGCAGAAGAATGCGTGTATCGATATGAATGGTGTTGGTCCCATAGAGGACCTCAAGCCCTTCCAAATTTCTGGCGCAGAAATGTTAGTTGACTGATCCCTCTACAACTTGAAAACAAAAGCTGCCTCTCAATGCGAATCGGAAATAGTACTTACGCCTGCCGACATGTCAACAGCCAGCCGGATGCCCCGACACGGCAATTATCAGGGCATGGTCCCGCATGAGCTGGAATTGTTGGATCCGATCTGGGGCATGCCAACGGGTTTCTCTGGTCCCTCTCGTACGGCGATCCATGGTAACCACAGGGTGTTCTCCCCCTTGCAAGCCTTCCGTCGTGATGCAGGCCTGGTTGATCGCTATGGCAGATACAGCTGTACCACCTCCACTTTGCAGATGAGCCACCGCCTCTTATAAAAGCAAGGTCAAGGTGGAGGGTCCGCTCGCCAAATGCTTGGATAAGAATGCGACGCCTGATTTCGGGTGGAAGCCGGGTGAAAAGGGGTCCGGTGCCCTCGGAACTCTTTTTGGTCCGAGGGCGGCCCCGAGACTGATAGCATTTCTTCTTGATCTCTCGTTGGCTTCGCTGTTTCTCTCTCTTCTTGATCCACTGCTTCCTCCAGCTGTTGGCGCCTTTCACTACTAAAATAGGTACCACCAGGGGGGTGAGAACGCAGCATGCGACCGCCGTTAGTGCTGCCTCTGCAGCAATCTCCAAAGGGCTTTGTTTTGGAGGCGGCGACGACATGATACGTGACTAGTTATGAAGGATAGAGAGAGAGCCGATGGCATTGGTAATCACAGGTGAGAGACGCAGCCTGTCACTCGAGCCCGGCATTAATAAGGGATGTGATTTATAAATAGCCTGTTTGGATAGGACTTTCTTATTCGCTAAAGCCATGTCAATAATAGAGTAGGACTGATCAGCCGGAAGAATTAAAGCCCGGTGTCTTCATGCTTGCTGGAGCTCGCTGGACTCTTTAACTCCCGCCTAGAAGCCTTTGAAAGGGCATAATCCTACTGGACATTCGGAGCTGACTCGCATGTTTTAAATCCTCGATTCAAGCCTGCCAAAACCCGCTTCGAGCGACGGGCTTCGGAGTTTTACACGAACCCGATTTGAACGATGCCGATAACGAGAGCGACCAAATGTCGGTAGCTCAACAGACCGCGCCGATTTTATGCCCGGCAGCTCTCCCTTCCGGCCGCCGTTTATGCAAATAAACTGGTTTTATGCAGATCTGTGCATTGGTCTAGCCGCAAAGATGCCTCTCTAATGAGCCGGATGTCGCTGCTGATCGACAAGGCATTAATCATGCCCTTGGCCGATGACCCCAGGGGTTTCCTCACCTAAAAACAACATTGAACATCGCACAGGAAACACCACGATAACCGACTCGTCGCAGAACCAACAAAGATGCGGCGCCTTTGGCAGAGCTCGAAAGAGCTCGATGCCGCCGACGATGAAGAGGCATCTTTTCTGGCCTTCAACAACCCCAAGAAACTCCCTGCTTGGTTGGACCACTTCAATGCGAAGGACCTCAAGATTCTCTTCAAATGCTCCCTGGCTGTCTGGATCCTGACGCTCTTCATCTTTATCAACGATACGCTTCGACTCCTCGGCCAGGCTGCGTTTTTCGGATGGTATTATACTCTTTTCCTACACATCTTTCTTGGCCAGACACTCATCGTCGCTGCAGCATCGTCCTATTTATCATGCCGCCATCCGGCGTTGTCTTCATCCACGTGATGGCTGGCCTGATGATATGCGTCGGAATCGCCCTTGGCTGGGCCTGGGGCGTCATCTGCATGAAGGCCGCTCTCGCGACGAGGCCTCAAGCTGACTTGCAAGCTCGATACCAGGAGTTGCAGCAATCGATGCCACAAAACACCACCAATGCTGAGCAGGCCTCTGGTCAAGGGACGTACATGCAGATAGCCATTTACGAAGGCTTCATGCTTGATACTCGGGTCTCAGTCACGTACTTTTGTATGCTAGGATTGTTTGTGTACTTTATGGTAAGGCCTCTCATCGTCTTCATTCTCCTCTTGGTTTAACGATAGGACTTTTTATAGGCTCGCGTCAAAGTGGCCGCCCCGAATCTGGCTCTCGTAACATTATTTTCCATGGTGGTTGCAGATATTTACTTTACCACGGCGCCGCTCATCCCGACTTTCCAAGGAACAATACCCAAAACGCTCATCCTCCCGACTGCGATTGCGGTTGGAATTGGCGCCGTGTGCAACCTGATTCTCTTCCCACAGTCTACATCACAGATCATGCTCGGCGACATGGCTAGTCTTTTGCGTCAAATGGACAGTTACATCAAAGCTCAAGGCTGGCATTTCAAGGCAAGGGCCGGATTCGACGTGGCACGGCTGCAAAAGTACAAGGGAGACTTGACGTTGGTCTACAAGAGCATCGAATCGGCCGGCAAGTTCCTGCAGTTGGATTGCTCATATCGCAGATGGAGCCCCGACGACATCAACAGTCTCCAAAAAACTCTACGACAAGCCTTGGTTTCTTTGCTAGACTTGTTACAACTCTCGATATCTCGGCAAGAGCTCGCTGCCAAAGACGAGGCCCTCACCAAAGCTGCCGCAGCGCTCGAAGATTCCGACGGTAAACAGCAACCGCTAGCCTATCATATCGCCAAAGCAGCCAACTTGCGCGATGCCACAAGACATCCTGATACGGAGGATATGATGGCCAAGTCGACTGAAGCGCTGGCATCCTGCGCCACACCTTTGTTGCACGCTTTGAGTCAAGCTATTGGCGCCATCGTTGAGGCATTATCTACGGTTCCTCAGGACGACACGATACTCGAACACGAACGAGTCGGCAGCTCGTTGCAAGAGGCCCTAGAGGACTTTCAGGAATCGGCCGCAGAGCATCTCATCGCTCCTCACTCCCACCTTTTCGATGCCGATGGTAGAGTCATATATGCCGATAATCGTACGCCTCCGCTACTTGGCTTGATGTCGGGTCTATTGTACCAAGAGCGGATAATCAACATTTCCAACGATGTCTTGGCGATTCTGGAACGAGTAGTTGAGATTGAGCAGGTCAGAAGAACAAAGCGCGTATGGCTCCCCAAGGGGCTCAATCGAATTGTGTCTTTGGGCCTGTCCCAGGATCAGCCTCCCTCTACTACTCCTGGTGCCCTGGATCTTACCCGGACCATGTCAGCGATATCTAAACCAGAGAAGAAGAAGAAGCGATTCTTCAGCCGACCAAAGGAAAAGACAGAGGCAGAAGTGGAAAAAACCGCAGCCGCGCTCTTGGAAAGCATGCAACGACCGACCGGCCGCCAACGTCGGACACCAAGTGTGGCTTTCCTGGCTTTGATCAACTTCTTCACCAACGTCGAAGGCCTGCATGCTTTGCGTACTCTAGTCTTAACGGTTGCCTTAGCCATCCCTGCCGTCATACCCTCGTCCGCAGGCTTCTACTACCGCGAGAAGGGAATGTGGGCGCTGATCATGGCGCAAATGGCACTTGAACCCTTCATGTCCGACTTCGTCTCAGGCATTGTTATTCGTACTCTCGGTACCGTAGCCGGAGGCGTGCTTGGTCTCGTGTGCTGGTATATCGGCGCTGGGAACGGTCCTGGAAATCCCTATGGATTGGCTGCTATTATGGCTGTTGCCATCGTCGGAATGATGTGGTGGAGGCTGTTCGCTCCGCCAGAACACATGGCAGCAGGTATCATGCTCACTTCGACAATGTACATGGTCGTGGCATATAGCTGGGTCGACACACATATTCCTAGCTATGGCAATCCCGGGGTGGGATACCAAGTCTTTTGGCGAAGGATCCTCCTTGTGCTTATTGGATTCGGCGCGGCGGTATTGATCGCGCTTCTGCCACGGCCTCTTTCTGGGAATCGACATTATCGACAGATCTTGTCCAGTCAGATTTCCAGTGTCAGGGACCGTTACGCTTTGCTCATCTCGACATGGCGATCGCCCCCAGAGGATCTTGTCGAGGTTGTTGAAAAGGAGTCAACCGTATCTGAAGAACTCCTCAATTCGATAGCTCAACCGATTGAGAAGACAAGATTCGAGTTCTCAACGTCCAACATCGACACCAAAACTCTCAGCCTCTCAAACCATCTCTGCAACAATCTCAACATCTACATCACGCAGCTCACCTTGACAGTCACGAAACTGCCGCTTCCAGCTCGTACATTGTTCATGCGTCAGCTTAGTGCCGGAGATGAGAATCTAATTGCGGACATCATGTCAACCCTGACACTTGCTCAGCATTCCTTGGCCTCTGGAGACCCTCTACCGGCAATCCTGCCAACACCACTTGTGGGCAGGGCGATGCAGTTCAAGAAGCTGCGGGGAGAGTTGCAGGCAGACGGCAATGCAAAGGATTTTCTAGCTGGTCAAGAGGGAAGGCACTGGATGGCAGCCATGTATGCGTTTGTGCGGTTTCTTGGAACTGTAGATGAGCTCATAGCGCTTCTTAAGAGGGCAGTTGGCGAGACGTCTTATATAGATACTGAAGCTCTAGGTGGTGATGTGTACTAGATGAGGAGTGAGCCTGGACGTTACAAAGGGGTATTAGGTGTTCAATTCGACATTGTGGATTATCTTGTATATCATATAACTTTATTAATATAATAAAATAGAGATTCTTAGTGTTCCCATTCAACGCGATAAAAGCTTCTTAATTTCCAGCCTGTATATAGATCACAGATGGTTGTTCTAAGTGTGAAACGAGACCTGAGATAAGCAGAAATACAACTGCTTTTGAATCGGACATTTAGGGACTAAGTATTGTATATGCTGCATCCTGTCTTGTCTATTGTAACTTAAAGGTAACTTAACTGGTCGAGTGTCTTTCAATGAACATGCAGTGCAACAATGATTCGCGAACCTTTACCACCAGTCAAGCCACTGGGCAAGCCTATGGATGTAGCCCAACAAGGTCCCCAGGGGCCGGAAACTGAATGCCGGTCAACTCCTGGTTTCCAAACAGAAACGCAGTATCGTTCTCTAGATCGGCCTCGACAATTCTATCCATGCTTGGCGCGTATTGAGACGGCTCTTGCGGAGTAGGCTGGACGCGACAGACTCTGCCATCGACTACCTCGACGTAGTTGGCGTTGATGCCCGGGCTTACCCAAAACACCATGTCTGGGTCGATCTCCTCTTTGATAGTAGATAAGCGTGGGTAATTATCACCCCAGAACGACTTACTCCAGTCTGGTTCGTAAATGCTAGCCTAATCGATGAGTGGTTAGTTATGCCTAAAGGAAGGGCTGGATGTTCCGAACCTCATTGATGTACGTCCCCATATCAGGCGCCAATTCTCGTAACCCGTCGGCGTTTGTAGTATTGCTTTTGAAGGCATTGATCAGGACAGTGGCTTTCCTCCAACCAGGGTTCGCAGATGTATCCTTTCCATCACCAACTGCCATCCCTGGCCCAGCCATCAACACACCGTATGATCCCCCTGTTCCACTGAGGGCACTGGTGAGGTCAGGGCTCCGCAAGTGGTCTGGGCCCAGCAAGCGACTGTCAAACGGAACATTGCCGTGGCTCACGGGAACTGGGGGGTCGTTTGAGGGCCCATAGGTGGTCTCATAGAAGTCCTTGAAGCTGGAGTAATGGTAATGCTTGCTCTGGAACGGAGTCATGCCCTCGAAAGACTGCATCTTGGTCAGAATGGGGCCCCAGATCTCATTCGCGTCAGTAGCATTGGCCAAGTGATCTGGGTGTATGGCGTGGCACCTGATGTTGTCGGGGAAGACGAAGAAATAGGCCGAGATCCCTTTGCTGTGGAGGTCTGGTAGCTCTGAGAACAGATATGCCATCGCTTCACTGGTTGGTGTGCGACCATCGGAGTTTGTCTCGTTGACAGTCAAAGTCGAGTTGATATACCAGTGAAAGGAGAGTATGGGTATCGTTGGATATGTTTTGAATGTGGCTTCAACAACAATGCCGAAAGTGCCCCCGCCCCCGCCTCTAATAGCCCAGAAAAGATCGGGATTGGAGACTTCGTTTGCGATCAGGAGCTCACCATCCGGAGTCACGATCTTGGCCTCGAGCCACTGGTCAACGCCCAGGCCGTACTGGGCAGTGAGAGGTCCATATCCGCCGGCCTGGCCGAAACCTCCTGCTGCTGATACTCCAGCTATACATATGGGTCAGCTCCTGTAAGACTCGTGCAAGAAAGTCTACTACTCACCCCAAGTACCTCCCACGTAGAACAAGTCGGACTGCGCAAGAGCTTTATTCAGCTCCAATCCATTGAAAGCCGGATTGAATGTGACAACAGCTTGAGCACCGGGCAATGGCTCAATAACTTGCGGTTCCTCGTCGGCTTCGAGGTTAGGCACACCGTCCACCGTGGCATTGTAAGACGTTGATACTCTCGCACTCTTCAGGAGTGAAATGTCGATGATTAGACCTGACCCTGCGGTATTGCGCCCGACCTCATCATGGCCGGTCGTGAGCACCGTCAGCCGAATATTGTGCTTTGCAGAGAACTTGACGGCAGATTGAACATCGGCATAGCTCTTTGCACGGATGCGGTAGTCTGGCAAACTACCATGGCTGTCGCTGTTATTCTCCTCGGCCACACCGGGGATCGCATTCTGCCACTCCTCGATCGAGGGCCAGTCATCGTCGGTGTGCAGCTTCTTACAGCCTTGCGGTGCGTTGGCTGCTAAACATGACTGAGAGCCCAGAAGCAGAGCAGACAGAGCTGCGTAGAGGATGCGGAACTTGGCCATGTGTGCGCAATGGATTTGAATTAGAATGAAGTATGAGAATGATTTTCAGCTCTTGAACGTCTATGGTCGTATTTATATACTTGCTATCGTCCGTCGTTGAAAGCCATCCCAGCACCTTTGTATGTCGTGATCGGCACAGTTGGAGGGAGAGTGACCCTTTCCAATCTAAGAACAGCAACTCGTGTCCGCTCCCGCTCTCGCTCTTGCCGCCATTTTAATAAATACGGCAGAGAACAGGAGAATGCGTCATTCATTTGGTCACTGACCAGCCGGTAGACCTGGAATGTTGCAGTGAGATTATGGAGTCGGTTTGACCGTCTATGCATATCGGATGTATTGTCTTCCGTAGAATCTAGATGCCGCATACCCGGCAATTGTGCAATGCCCAGACGGACCCTCCCGCTTGCCAAGGTCTAGGAATAGAGATCCCTGGGGCCCCATGTGCTTTTAATTCCGAGTGTTATGCCGAGGCTATGATCTCCATCCTACGTAAAGCAGATATGTCACGTTTGTAAGGCAGTACTCGCACCCGATCTCGATGTAGTCTTCAATACTGTACATATGCCATCCTTCAGACTTGGTAAGGGATATGTGAGCTAGGGTAATTCATTTTGTTGAGATGTCAAGCTCCGGCATCTTCCATTGTTACTCAACTTTATACTCGAACTCTCTCCGCGTGAACTAAGTAATTTGAGCTAGGTACATCATATTCTTGCTTGAAAAACCTCGACGTCATTGTAATAAGAAATATAATGACGGCTGAATACTCTCCTACCTACAAGATTTATGCTCAATGATTTCAATGTTCCAAGACGGCAGGTCGGAAGGCTATCTACTCGGCCGCTAAGGACCCCAACATGATCAAGCTCAACCTTAGTCCAGCTTGAATCCCCCAATGAGCTGGTTCGTCAAGAGTCCAGACTCATCGTACTTGTCCCTAATTGATCTCAACCTAGCGACATTCGCCGGATGATATCCCTGGAACACATCCTGCCCACCACCCGCATTATTGAGATACAGGAACGGGACAATAGTCTCCCCCAGCTTCGCTCGTAGCTCCTCGTTGATGTCCGTCATGAGCTGCTCAATGCTTCCGGTATCATTCTTACTGGTCCATGAAAAGGTTTCCTCACAGAGGAAATACGGTGCCTTGTCCGCGTCGATGCCCATGGGGTCGCCGGCCGGGTCCGTGCCGCGGTTTTTGGTGATATAAGACTTGGAGACGGCGTTCATTGCCAATGTGGAGATGAAACCCTCGATGGCAGGCCCGCTCTGCTGCGTGTGCCGGAAGAAAATGTCGTGAACAGCGTACATGGCGTCCAGATCCGCGAGCATCGAAAACCCGTGGAAGCGGAAGTTCTGGCCGTGCACTTTGTCGAAGCCTTCGTCGGCTTCCGCAGTCCAGTTGGCCATGGTGCGCACAGAGAAAGTGCTGCTTCGCGGACTGGCCACTGGGGGGAGAAAACTCTCAAGCGCAGAGGGAGAGGTGTTGTTGTCATTGTAGAACAAGATGGCAGAGTAGGTGATGTTTGGGCCGGCTGCTGGGACGAAGGATATGGTCGGGAGGACAAAGGCACGCTCGTCCAAAACTCCAGTCTGGCTGAAGTCGTAGAGGTTTTTGATAAAAGAGTCCCGCTGCCCTGAGCCGTATGCAACTTGACCTACGGCAACAGATGGTATGTTGAAAGTTTTGAGCTCGAACTTGGTGACGATGGCAAAGTTGTTGCCGCCGCCTCGAAGAGCCCAAAAGAGGTCAGAATACTCATTGTCTGCCATTGCGTAGACGATTGAGCCGCATGCTAGGACCGCCTGCACATAAGTCAGTACTTGCTGGTTGTGTATTTGAACACGAAACATGACATACCTCGTACCCGACAACATTCGCCGAGGCCCATCCATATTGGTTGCTCAAGAATGACATGCCTCCGCCTAACAAGAACCCAGGTACTCCAACGACTCCGATGCGGCTGCCAACCACGACCAGGTCATGAGGGGATAGGTAGTCGATGACCTCTGCCCAGTCATGACCAGAGGCGACTGAGACCGATGAAAGGTCCGACGACAGTTGCAAGCCCGTCAGATTCGTTGTTGCCAGGAGAATGCCACTGGAGTCGATGTTCGCCGCGCCTGGGACCGGCATCCATCCACCACCGCGAACGGCAAAGGGAGCATCTGAATCTTTGAGTTGCGCCACGGCATGTGCCATGAGTTCGGAGCTGGTGGGGATGAAGATACACGCTGGGCCAAGCCATGCCTCGGCACTGAAGTAATCTGCAACGCTTAGCAAATACTCTTGGAGTAGGATGCCGGTTTCGGTGTTGAGAAACTATCTGCCAAGACATAGCATGGAATGATCATGTCTCACCTTCATTGATGTAATTATATAAAGACTCCCCAGGGAACAGGGTCAGGGCTGGGAAGTCGGTTTCTAAGGCAGCGCATATGTCCTTGACAGCTTGATACGAGTAAGACTGAGCAGTGACTGCGAGGTTAAGCACAAGGACGGCCGTCAAGCATCGTTGATTTCCGCCGAACATGTTGAAAAGGGGTGTTGATGAGTGAATCGGAAAGCTGCAAGCTCAAGTAACGACAAAAAGGCTCGCGTTGGCATTTTCTATCGAAAGATGGTCTGCAGGAAGTACACCGCTCGTCATAATAAAAAGGAGCTACATACACCGTACAATGACGTGGGCAATATTACTTCCCAATGCTACCATACACGGGTGAGTTCGAAATTCGACGTCCTTGTGTCATGCACCACTGCGGAAGATTGCACTCTGCAGATCTGATCTACCCGAACGGATCACGGCACGGTTGGTGGGCTTCTTTTCTTGGATACGGCATGACGCATGAACCCGAACCCGATACCGAGTGGCGATCACTACTTGAGTGCCATGCCTAGCAACCTAATACTACCTACCAGAGCAGGAAGTCTAGTATATCCCGGCCAGAATGAATTAGGCTCAACTGAACTAAGCCTGAGCCACAGTCGTCGCATGTGCTGGTCAGTGACCAACTCTGTGGGTGGCTGAGCTGGCTGGCTTCACAGATGCCCTGAGATATTCTAATAGTAAGCAACCAGGAATAGATTAGCAACAAGATCTGAGGATGTTCAAATAAGCACTGATTATGAAATGGTAATTTCACCACCCCAAAAGACTATCCCTAGATATACAGCCCGCTTTGTGAACCGACTCAGAGGACTGTAATGAGCATCATTTTGGCTTTAAGATGGAGTGTCTTTCAAAGCCTTAAATAAGTCCTTATGATGTAAGATATAGTCACTAAGTTGTAATCAAAGAATACAATTATCACGGCATTTTCTTCTCTACACTAGGTTCCATACCCGAAGAAGCCGGCTTGGTCTATTGGGAACACTGGTGGCATAGCAAAAAGAGCATCTATAGGGTCTGCACAATCAAACTCCGGCAAGACCAGCTCATCGTATTGAAGAATTTGCCCACCGGCAAGATCTGAACCCATCAAGCCAGATATATCTGTTCCATTTAATCGATCGTTTACAATGCCGGACTGCAAATGGCTCCCCGGAACAGAGGTGTGAGCTCGGCGAAACCAAAGCCGTTCTAGCAGTTTTGCGAATTTCGAGGCGATGTGATCCTCGTCCATGGCCGCAGACTTGAGGGTAGTGATGAATCTGCACATGAGCTCTGTCATTTCGCCGAACTTCTCAGTCGGAATGGCGCCAACAGCATGGGCTTTATAAAGGAATACAGAAGAGTGAATCTCATATCTGTGAAGACTTGAGTAAGATGAGGGTCAATGTGATAGGAAGCAGACCTACAGATAGAAGCGAGCTGGCATGTAGCGAAGGTGCTTGTCGGGTTTTATTTCCTCGGTTACAATTTTGAGCATTTTCTCTGCAGCATCAATGGCTTCGTATATCGGTCTGGCATCGGGAGATGCCATTGTTGAGTCCGGAAATATCATCGACGCACGGGAGGCATCTGTGGTGGTCTGTCGATCAGAACTTCTCATCACTGATGTTCGATACAGGACAGCTTGGAAAGCGAACGCATTGACGTAAAGACGAAGATATTCATACGTCAAGGACAGGCAGCTGGTGAGATGAGATGAGACCGATATTGACCCCCAAACGCGTTGCCAGGCTGCCATTGCTCGAGCAGTGTCATCAACATATTTGGAGTAGTCCCCGCGCATCATTAATTCGGCAGTGCGTGACCTTGAAGCAAACAAGATGTCGTGCGCATTGCCAAACAATGTCGTCAGCTCTACCTGAGCTTGTACCAAGGAAGCGAAGTCTTCGTCACCAGCTTGTTTGGCCTGGAGGGTCGGGAAGTCTTGGGCTGTGAATCTCGTGGAAAGGGCTGGGCCTCTGCACCAGAATGCCTGCCCCATCCGGATTGATATTTGACGGTCCGAAAGATATGTGACTAATATCAAATCAGTGAGGATAAATCTTGTGACCACGGGACGTACATACATGTCCAAGCCAAACGGTTCCGCAAAAGGCTGGCGTCGTGCTCTTCTCCGGGAGTCTTGAAAGAGCTATCTTCCAATCGAAGGAGATATGCAGTCCGTACGGCCAGCCCCAGGACTGACCAAGCAGCCCCTTCTCCCCCATCTTTAGTCTGATCCTGCATGGTCCACTCTCCCAAAAGCAACAGACCTTCGACGCATCCAACACTGCGTGCACTGGCAGCTCCAAGGACCACATCCATGATGAGCTGTTTCATATGCTTCCAGATTGAGTCATGTACACTCGCAAACTCCAGTTGGCTCTGTGAGGCTACCACGAGAACGGCAGTTAAAAGAAATGGCTCATGCTGAATTGTATGAAGAATATTTTCAATTCGTAAAGTAGACGCTGGGCAGATGGGGAGAAATTGGTGATAATGTTCTGCATAACTAAAACTTATCAGTCATAGATAAACCTGGGGCTTGGGTGTCTACTTACTGTCGAACAAGCTTCGCGATGGTTGTCAGGTCCAGAGAGCCGTCTTGGATAGGGCCATAATGCTCAGCAATGAAATGATCTGACTCATTTGATGTTGATAGAGTTGCAGCCTGTTCAGTATTCTTGGTTATTCTCCCAGCCCTAGCAACTGGTTGAGATGTTGATGATGCAACTTCGCCAAGGTAAGTTGCTCCTATCGTGGCAGTCTCGCCCCCATTTTGTTCATCTGGCTGTTCGGCTGCATGGGCGAGGATAAGTAAAGCATCAGAAGGGTTCTGTAAACTATCATGATCACCAGGTTTGTGCTGATGAGGCGAGACATGGTCACTTGATGGGGTGAAGGCCGTGGGTTCCGGTACAGATTTGTTTTGTGCTTTTTGGCGTGATGCGCGAAGGTGGGAATAGTTACCACCCCGTCGGGACTGCGCGAGAACACACTCTGCGCCCTCACGCGCACACTTGGCACAGGGAGGTTTGCCCGGTTCCCCTACGCTCTGGCTAAAGACGAGTCAAGTATCAGTTACTGCTAGCAGCCTCCCCACGGTACAAGGTTACATTGACTGTTTGACGGGTACTTACAGATCACACTTGATTTTGCGGCCTCGGCATCTGACACACGCGCAATACTGGCGCAGGCCGAGACCTTTAGTCATCTTTCGGTCTTCTCACAGAGCTCAATCAGTGGAGCAATGCTATTCACACAAGTATGGGGAAGCCAGGGTTGGCCATAGTACTACCTGTCACCGGATTGAATGAGCTCAGAGGAAAGAAAGGCCAGGACGCCAAAAGATGCCGGTAGTAGACGGTTATAGATGGGAGAATCTGGAGATTGTGGAGAGAGACGATCTCTGACCCCGCACGATGGTTATAGACGGCTGTAGACGGCCAAACCTTGACGGCACCACTCTTCCGCCGCGAGTCAGAGGCGATATGATGCAGCTTGGCATCAATAGACTGAATAACAGTTGTTTCTATTCGTCAATCGTCCCGTATTGCTTCCTCGATTCGACGTTAGCTACTATGTAGTGGGCCGTGATGAACAGTGCTCGGCTGCACCATGAATACCGCCAGCCCCCATCGTAGTTCATAAATACATTATATCTCCTGTTCAAGGAAAACGAGTTTTGTTGAAGCACAGAAAATTTAGATTTCTCCAGTTTTTCGTTGACATTAACCTAAAAAACCAAGCTCTCGTCAAACACAAGATGGCCCCCAGTCGTATTGATACGCCCCAAACACAATCCTCGGTGATTCCATCGAGCAAAGATCTCAAATTTACTGTAGATGATGGCTATGACAGCTACCATCCAGTTGATCCGCATACGCTTGACCTACAGTCCAACTTTGGCCCCATGGATCCCGGTTCAGTGGGATACCTCCAGCCAACGTCCGTCGACACTCCCCTTGAGATTATGCACGAGCGTTATGAACGCGATGGCTACCTATTTGTGCGTACATTCCACCAAAATCCAGACGCCTACATAGTAGAATACTTACACCGTTGTTGGCTTTAGATCAAGAAGTGCATCCCTAAAGAAACCTCACTCGCCTGTCGCCGTGCCTACTTCGAACACATGGCTCCCAGCGGCCTACTAAAGCCAGGCACTGACGCCGTAGAAGGCATCTTCTCCGGTGCCGATACTCGAAAATACATGCCACCTGGAAATTTACGCCGTCTTTTTGGCCTAAAGGACGACCCCGAAAGCGATAAATACGTCGAGCTCATGGTGTCAGCCCACGAAGCGCCTTTCTACGTCGACTTCTGTCAGTGCCCAGAGCTTCGGCAGTTTGTGAGCCGGTTCATGGGCTGGAAGAACCCTCAAATGCTGCAGCGCACCATGTTGAGAGCTTTTGTACCCAACAGCGAACTGACCCCAGTGCACTTTGACCAAATGTATCTACGCGCAGGCCCGCCCACAAGTCTGACGGCTTGGGTTCCCATCGGCGATGTCTCACTCCAAGGCGGCGGTCTCATGTATCTCGAGAGGTCCACAGACATTGGGATGAAGACCGAGCAAGACTTTGCTGATAATGCGCACAACTTAACTGACGAGGAGAGGATAAGCGCCTTCAACAAGAACATGAACGACGGCGGCTTCCTCAGCCGCGACACCGTGGCATATGGTAAAGAAAGAAAACGCAAGTGGTTGATTGCCGAGTACGAAGCAGGCGACGTTATCTTCCACAACCCCTTCATGGTCCACGCAAGCTGCAAGAACAAAGATCCGGAGAACAAGATCCGTCTAGCCACTGATGTTCGCTTCGTTGACCCCGAAAAGCCGTATGACAAGGTACGCAAACCGAATGATTTAAATATGAGTCTTTGACAAAGCTAACTGAAGCAAAGCGTTGGATGAAGGTGTACCGACCTCTTGACGGATTGTAAGCTACAGCTCATGCTACGTGCGTAGACGCACCTGCGGAATTTGGGGAGAGATAAGTATGTAGGCTAGGGAATAATCTACAAATCTCGCAGCTCTATATATTCGCTCTTGTCTCTGTATGAGGAATTAAATTGCAGTTAATTGGCAATGTGCTTTCCAGAGATCGTAGATATCTCGTACGTCAGTAGACAGGCATCGAGGGAATTCCCGATGGCAC